TTAAGACGCTCTGGGAAAATATCAACAACTTTTGAGCGACAACAATGCACGCACTCAAATTGCTGACTTTTAGCCGTTACGTTACGAGTCACTCAGCGGAACAGTATGGCACCAAGGCACCACCACTAACGATTGTTATCGTGCAAGCAATTCAATAGATCTTTGTAACGAACTTTTCGTAAGTAATTGTCCAAGGTGTTTTTCTCTTTTCCTTTGTGTGTTTATTTCGTTAACTCCGCTTTTAAGTAAAAAAAAAAGAAACAAAAATCAGGTTTAAGCTACGTATCTATGTACATATATATTTAAAGAGTTGTACGATAGAAAAATTGCTTACTTCAAATAAAAAACCATAAGTATTTTGAAACTTTTACGAGTCCTTTAGGTTTTACTTTTATATAAATCAAGCTCCGACTGTTGAAATAACTTTCGGTTAGACTACAGTGGCGCCGTAGCATGTGCGGCAATTAAGTTACAATAGTTAATTCGTTGGGAAACAGTTAGGGTGTCATTAGGACGGAATAATCATAATACACATACATCCCAACACACACACACACACACACACACACACATGACACACATTTCCACATACGTGTAACATAAAAAAGTGTTCTCGTGCTGGTGCGTATTGGCATGCTTTACGGGTGTGATGAGCCTGGCTCGGTATTCAAGGTGATGAGCAGGTTAGTAGCGAGTTGATGGCGTAGTCACCAGCTTTCAAACAAATTTTTGTATTCCCCCTGACTTGATTGACGTTCGGGTCAAGTGACTTTCCGTTAAATAAAAAAAATTGTCAGCTTGAACATTCATGCCACGTGGTAGAGTAACGAGTTGTGTAACGTAGTGTTTGGAAATTTGTACATACATACATACATATATACATTTGTCTTTGTTACGTTAGGAAAATTTTCGGTAGCAACCTTAAACGTTCAACAGTGGAGGAATGGTTGATGAACCAAAAAGATCTTGCAATGTGCTTAATTTGTTTTAAAATGTCACCCCCTGCCGAGAAACGAACGAGTTTCGAAAAAAAAAAGTGAAGATGATTTTTTTTTTTAATTTTAATTTGTAATTCGGTATACAAAAATAAAATAAATTTATTATTATTATGTTTTTCCAAATTCTGTGTATTATTTTGTTACGAGTCTCGTTTGTTAAATACCGACTTTAGATAAATCAAATAAAATAATTTGTTAATAAAAATGCAGTTAATTCCATATTAAAAGCATCTTTCACTCGCTGAACTATATCCGTTTAACTCGTTCAACTCTTCATTCCATCGGCTGGGGTATTTGCAATGCACAAAGGACCATAACTCGTTCGCAAATTCTTCCTCTCAAAGACTCACAGGGCCAACTCATCGAATGTCGACATCGCCCAGGCTTCTGCGACATATAGCAAGGCGGTAATAATGAGTGAGAAAGCATCTTACTTTTTATTTGCCTACTCAGTACAAAGTAGCACCTACTGGTACCTAGATAGACGAAGTTGTCTACGACCTCGAAATTACTACTGTCAACAGTGATATGGGAGCCAAGCCGTAAAAGTGCCGACTGTTTGTTCGATGACAGGAGATATTTCGTCAAGTGCTCGATGCACTACAAGACCGATTCACTGTGATTCTTTATCAAACTTGGAGTAGGCAGAACTAGCGGTGCGGTGGTTAAGGTCTAGGATAGCAATGTTAACGGCATACGGCAGCACTACTCGGAGAGATCCTTTCCAATTCTGACTGATCTGTCAAAATGAGATAGTGGAAAAAATAAAATATTTCGAAAAATATTGGCGATCAATCAAATATTCCAATATCATTAACTTTAAAAAATATATAAACTATATGAAAAATCCGCAATTACTTTTTGGGCAACCCAATAGAATTAATAAATTTGTTAACCATATTGATGTTATTCGGGTTTTTCCAGTCCTTCGTCGTATGTACAGACGAGTATGTATGTATGTACAATATATTATTCCGCCTGACTTATGGTTAGGCAAATTGGGTAATTTTTAACTTTTGGTTTTAATATAGGGACTGTCAAAGTCATGGAAAATCCATTGGCTGGTAAAAAAAACTCTCTATTTCACTCTTTTTTCGCACAAACAACAATAACATTGGCACATGTTTGGACATTTTCACACTTGAAAATAGAAAATTAATTTTAATTTACGCAAATAGAAAATAAACTAAAAAATAATGTTTGAAAAAAGTGCATTTCGCTGCCTTAAAAGTTTCACTTGATAAATAATTTGCTTGGGATACCTGGAAGAAAAATGCAGAAAGTTACTTAGAGGTCAAATAATTATTATTTTTTTTTGTTAAATTAATAGTTCTGGTGGCAATTAAACTTATTTGATTAATCAATTTAATTGTATACAGATGTACATATATATATATATATATATATATATATATATGATTGAAAAAATATATATATGAAGATTAGTTGTACATCAGTAGCAAAGAGTGTTCGATTTACCTACCATTCCTTGCAAGCAAACAGCTAAAACAGCTGCTCGTAAAATGTACTAAATTATTATACAGCCGACAAAACAATCACTGACTGGAGAAGAACCGAACTCCTCCCGGCTGTGTTGTCTTCAGGCTGTATTAAGAAAAAGGATCCCATAAACTTTTTAAAAGAATCTGTTCAATATAATAGCAGTCTATGCCATATATGGACGTATAGTTGTTGTATGGTGTTTCACTGTGGTCCTTGATGAAGCCTTTCCTCCTTTACTCTCAAACTTTTTTCATCATCTTGTAATCATGACAAAAGTAAGTTCCTGGCAACGTCGTCTTAATGCTACTCGTACAACAAATTACTTTTTACCGCATTTGCCATTATTGCATTATGATACTTTTTAACTACGAGGATTCACTTCGTACATACATACACACACATGTGTACAAATAGGGATGTGCAAAGTGCACATGAAGTCATACACGTATGAGTATTAGTTGCTGACATGTTATTGCCGTCTGTGACTTTAGCCAAACTGGTGTAACTTTTCTCATAAACATAAAAGTCTTTTGCATTGTTTGTGGCGAATTGGTAATTGCACATCTTCGTTGCGGAAATTTTCAACTTCCGGTCGCACTTAAACGAGCAAGTATAAAGCTACAAAGTGGCTTATTATGCAAACATTCTCTCTTTTCTTTATCCGTCTAGGAGTATTAGCATTTTAAGGTTGTTTCAATTCTATATGGGCGAATAGCTGCCAAGTATTGAAATAATAAACAGGAATATTTAAAAACATATGTATATGTGTGTGTACAAATTGAAGTGCATGTATACGTGTATGTGTTCTTTGTTTGTTCAAGAGCTAAGTTAACATTGTTAAAATAATTAAGAGAATCTCTCTTTTTCGATAGAATAGAAACTAAATAGAATAAGATGTATAGCAAACTTGTATGCAATTTCGATTCTTCTACAATTAAAATAAAATTTTACTAATGTCAGCAAACTGAAACGATCTTCGCTTGGTCTCATTAACTGCTAGCTGCAATTTACACACCAAAAAAGGTCATAACATAAATATTATACAAATTTTTTTACATACGTATATGTAGGCGTTTACATATATATTCACATATAACATATATACGATAGCGTAAACAAATATGCCACATGCCACTAACTTTATGAAATTCTCTAACGCCTTATTTACATGACTTACCCCCTATTTCCTCAAGTGAAAAAGCAGCTTGTGTTGCTACTGAACTTCAGGCTGTTCAAGCCGAAATCATTTCAATACCCATAGTGCTGGTGGATGACACGTAACGAATACACACCGATGAATATGGAGTAATTTGTAGGGGAATATGTCTCCGCACGAGTTATTGCGATTGTAATATGAAAACTCCAGGTGTGCAACCGTTGTGGCACGCACCATGATCACTTTAGTAAATGTGCTTGAATTTGAGCAATATTTGAGAGAGCCGACTTCTATTTTATATTTTATAGCTGCTAGTAACGGGGAAAGGAAGTAGAAAATGACATTATTGTGCAGTATGTGCTGACCAGTGTTGCCGTTTCGTTAAACGTTTATTCCATCCGCTTGCGAACGTTGAGGATCTTCCATTATGGGAAATCCCATTAATCATAAGAATTATGTTAAAAACGTTGATCATTTTATGATCCTAGTCTAAGCTAATGTGTTAAAGCAAAAAGCAAATACAGAAAATTCGGTAGGTTCTCAGATAAACTTTGCAAGAAAACATATTTTGGTGGCCATCCTAATAAAGGGTTTCCAAAACGAGGTTATTTTGATATTCATAGAAACGTTGCCCTTAAAATATAGACGGGTTCGTTGCTTGTATCGCACGTAGCGCCGTCTTGTTGAAAGGAAACGTTCAGCAAAAGAATACTAACCAATTTCGGTCGAAATAAATATCAAAAGTGATATTTACCGAAATACCTGGATATTCAAAATAACAATACAATAATTATTGGAAAACCCTTTAGTTTCAAGAAAAATATCAGCCAATACAAATAATGACTGAAAGAAAGGAACTTGATCATTTTGCTGAATCAGTGAAGGGAAGTGAATTTTATGCAAGCATACATATATGCAATGAAAATTTGAGTTACTCGAGGTTAAGTTAACAACTCTTTAGATCTCCACAGAGAATGGTTTTCATGTGCTTACTTTATTTAGTACAATGGCATTGTGGAAACCTGCATAGCGACAAGTAAGAAATGCTAAGCTCGTATGGAATCGTAGATTTGGTTAAATGTTTCCTTCGTATAGAACTAGGAGGGAACAACGACACCGTTAGTTAAATTTGATTTATAATACATTTTTATTTGATCGCCTAGTAGACACCAAGTCGTCCCTTTTCGAAAATTTTCAATGAGCCCACAAACCAAATTTGGTGGCTCTGTAAATACACACATTTTCAATCTTCAATACCAATATATCACTTTTCAGAAATTTATTATTTACAAACTTATCTATATTCCTATATTAATTCTGTTTATATTTTTTTCTCTTTCCAGGAGGATTTGTAATGGACGACAGATATAAATAACAACTTGTTTGTGGTAAATTTTTTACTAATGGAAACTTACAAATGACGTTTGATATATGATTTAGCGTAATGTAACTGCATACCTTCATATATGTGTGTATACATATGCGGTATATTACAATATAAATATACATACATACATGTATGTATATACTCGTAATAGTTTTTACCCGAAACTTCGGCTTCAAGGAACTTGAAAGTGGTTCCAATATAATTTTTTTTATTATTTATTTTCTTTATTATGACATATTTATGTTTGCATCATTATATTAAAATATTTCAAAATTTTTTTTTAAGATTAAATAAAAATGGAGACCGAATTTAATATGCATTGTAAATTCGGAGTTAATTTATGGAAACGTTGCAACATAAGCGAATTACTATGTATTTCTGGCAAACCGAACCTATTTTACATATCCATCCAAATCGTAATATGAAAAACGCAATTTAAATATTAATATAGGCAAATCAAGTAAGCCGAATTGTGAATACGATTTTTTCGAATAGATCAGTTCCAGATCAACTTATCGGAAAATCTTTACCTATCGTACAATCATCCGATTATACATAATATTCACCTTCCAAGTTTCAGATCCTCACGATCAATTGTTTAGGCTGTGGATTGTTTCGTCACTCATTCTGGACAAAGCCTTTATATCACCATAGCCTTTATAGCACAAATGCAATGGTATCATTTTGTTACGTTGACAAGAAAAAGAATAACTTTACGAAATGAAATCGTTTCGTTTCGGTGAATTCGCTAAAACTCATCGTTAACATTACATTTAAAATGGCTGTTAGCTATGAGTTAACAGCACACCTTAATTTTAACATTTAATATTATCTGTTAACTATTTAATATTAATGACAGCTTTTCGTTTCGGTTAAAAATGAAATCACAATTTTTTTTAATAACTGTTTCGACGTTAATATTTCCAATTGTTTTAACCGAACAGCAGACATTTTTCGATTTGTCGTTACGCTGCAACTTCGTTTTCCATAGATATGTACATGGATTTTGTGAAATATATATTTTTTTTTTTGCAAAATTGTCTGAAATAAAGCGATCATGCACGTACTTTTCTATACATATGTATATACTCGTAAGTATGTGTGTGCATAAGCCACATAAGGTACAGTCACAGTTGGAGTGGTTGCATTCAGCCAATTCTTAGTGCATTACGAGTATTCATTAATGAGTTTGCCGATTGATTTGGAGGGTGGTTCCATGCAGAAACATATAGAAATGTAGTGCATATATATTTATGACCTGAAAACGCATTCCATTACTTCAATTTGAAAATATACTTTTAGTGATATTTTCGCAATTGTGTTGTAGAACTGAAGTTACTTTTCGTAAGTGTTAAAAGGTAAAGTTAGTTAAAATCTTATAAATGTATAACTTACACTGTTACGAATTCGAAATGCTCCTAGGTTTGTGCACTCTTTCCTCAAAAGAAGTATTTTTGCTCAGTTCAAGATTATAATTTTTGAAAAATTTTAGTTGATAAAACTTCGGAAAGGACCGAAGATAAAAAAAACAATTCCCTTGCTGTTTTAATCACCTAAGTTTTAAGGTATTTATTAAAATATTTATACAAAAATTCTTTTTCGACCAAAATGGTTTGTATGCTCACATTTGTATAACCAATTTTTTGAATTTACTCATTATCTCTCCCCCATTAGCCTTAGGAAAATGATTTTAAAGAAATGTTCTTCCCAAACTTATTTTATTTACAGAGAGACTTTTGAATGCTCGAGAGGATAGAGGATTCCAAATTAAAACGACCAAAATATAAGTAAAAACTAAAAAATCATTACTACAAGACTTTTTGATTCAAAAGTTCTTAAATCCAAATTAAATGAAGTCAAAAATAAACTCAAATACAAAAATTGAAATAACAAAACTAAAAAAATTTAATCATGGTAAAAATTATGCAAACATGTTGTAAAAATTAAATGCAAAAGACATTCGCATGTGTGTGGTGGTGGAAAGAAAAATCAAAACTAAATTCATTATTAGAAAGCGAAAAAAACGTAGAAGACGTAAAGAACCGAATATAAAACGTACCGATCGTTATTTAAAGTAGCATCCAAGTTGAGAACAAAATTTTAGATTTTGGCGATATTAAACCTTGAGATCTCAGCGGCCTTTGGAGGAAGGGAAAGGTAAAATATAGGATATCGAAGCAGCACAACTAAAATAATAAAAACCTTCAAGGAATTTATGCTGTGGGAATTGACCACGTAAAGCCAAAATTATTAAAGAAAACACTAATTGGAGCTAAAAGCTTAAATACACAACAGAGCGAGTGAACATCTCACAATAACCAACATTTGAAACTTTGATAACATTAATATAGTATTTGAGAAAATCACAGAACCACTAAGAAATTCTCTGTGGAGTGTTTATGAATTGAGAATATTTGCAGAACCTATTGCATATTGTAATCAAAAAAAAAAGGAAAAAACTTTAATTATACACTTGCCCCCAAAGAGCGGCGAATTTAGAAAACTTGAACAAGACACCTATACCCATACAAGGTAAAACCGGATAGCAGTAAAGCAAAACAAAAAAAAAAAACAAGGCGAAACTATTATAAGAATATTCGAAAGTATACTCTTTCGATAACTGTGTGTGAGTATTTATCTGGGCCTGAGCCAATCCAACTAAAACATTTCTAAACAACAACAGCAATAACAATAATTACTGCAGCAACAAAAGCATCGAAAATCGAATATCGACGATTCAAAGAAGGCGAGCAGAGGCAAAAAGTATTCAATTCCTAACCCAATCCAAGTAGAAACAGCAAATCCACACCGACAGATAGCAGAGCAGCGGCAGAGGACGTTGTATAATTTCCAAAACAAATGTATGTGTGTGTATGAGAACAGTACATTCGTGTTGGTAATTGTCTGTTGACAGCTCACATAAGTAATAAAGTAAATTTACAACAAAAACAAACAAGAAAACTTCTGTGTGAAAGAAAAGGCAAAAACTTGGCGAGCCAATAGACGATCCACGTACACGCACACATACAGATTCCAATTGACAGAGCCTTCATTTATGTTTGTTTGTATATGTGAATGCTGAATGTGTGACCATTGTATGCTTCCAAAAGGCTGCAGCGTCCGCAAAGGTAGCTGAGCAAAAGCAGAAGCAGTGAAGCAGTGAAGCATTACACAGCGACTTGACGGAGGAAAGTCAGCGCTCACCACTCATTGTTGCTAGCAGAGGCTCGTAACGAAGTTGTAGATTGCGTTTTTAGGTTGATAAAGGGAGACAAGAAAGGAGAGAAAATAAAGGAGAGAGCACTGAGTTCGTTACAACTGCGAGCTCTGGAAGAGAATACGTTATTCGCCCAAGCTGTTGACATCTTATGATGTCATCAGAGGAGGACACAGACTGTTTTGGATTGTACAGCGATGATAAGTTATTACTAAAAGCGGCCACAACATCATTTTCCAAACTGGCTGAATCCTCATCTTCGCCGCCGTTGTTAGAATTGGAAGCCGACATCGTGGTAAAGCAAGAGTCACTCTCGCTACTACCCCCACCAACACCGCCACTTCAGTCAGCAAAGAGCGTAAAGAACAACTCAAACCAAAATCTCAACAACAACAATAGTAGTAACGCCAACAGCGGTAGTAATAAAAATAAAATCCATAGCAATAGTGGCAATAGCAGCATTAGCAGCATTAGCACGACTCTCGAGGAAGTCCACGAAAGCGAACTTTTCGAAAACGACATCGTCAACGGTGGCGGCATTGACGACGACGACGACGACGATAACGACGTTGTTGTCATACTCGAAGGCGCCGCAAGTAGCAGTGAGGCCACAACTAACAGCCTGAGACAGAATCGTATTCGTAACTGCAAACGCAGCCGTAGTCGAAGCCGCAGCCGCAGTAGCGTCAGCGGCAGTAGTGGTGGCAAACAACAAGTCGTTCAAGTCGTGCATGGCACAGAGCGAGCTAACGAAAGTAGTCCGTGTGGTGCCGTCAACAAGACAGCAACGAGCACCGCTAACTTATCAACCCGCTCGAAGTCAACAACAGTGTTAGTGTCATCGTCGTCGTCATCGTCATCGTCATCATCGAAATTAAGCAAGAAGAACGCGTCCTCATCTAGTGAATATCTTGTGAATAAGAACAGTAATTCGAGTAGTTTGAATAATATAAATAATTGTGCCAGTACTAACAACTTAAACGTGAATGTGAATGGTAATAGTGTTGCAGGATCAGAGTCGAAACTATTCGCGGCAGTACCACCGTTTAATTCTCCTCAATTACCCAACGTATCCGGGTTCCAGGGTAGTACAAGTCCAACTTCGTTGCCATTGCCAATAACACTTTCACCATCGCCGTCATCTCCGATTTTGCCGTCAACAGCGACTGCCTTCATGAGTAGTGCTGCTGCGGCTGTCGCGGGCGCTGCAGGAGGAGCTCTGTATGGAGCCTTATTAAGTCAGAATAATTCATCGTCCACTAACGCGATCAACGGCAACCACGTTAGCACTAGCAATAATCAGCATAATAACGCAAACGCTTCTGGATCCGCTTCCTCGTCGCCAACAGCATCGTTACTGTCCGGTAATTTTTCTGCGGCTCTTGGTAGCCTCTTCACGGCAAACGGTTTTGGTTCAGCAAAAATGTTGAATGAGTTATTTGGTAGGCAGATGAAGCAAGCGCAGGATGCTACCAGCGGGTTGCCCGCGACTTTAGACAATGCTATGTTAGCTGCGGCAATGGAATCAGCCACTAGTGCAGAACTATTAAACGCAGCCGGTTTGGTAAATAGTTTAGGCCTCAATGCTACCAGTAAATTGCTCAATAATAATACGATAAATAGTTTGAATAATTTAAGTAATACAAATTCATCTGCGACGTCTGGTTTAAACAATGGTAATGCCAACGCCGATAACCAGCAAACGGTGCATGCCGCATCCGCCTCTCAATCGCCTAAGAATAGACGGGTGAGTAATTGTAGTGATAGGTCTGTGGATGAAGTGAGCTCCCGTGCTGGCGATGTGAACTCCCCTCCACGTGCCTCTTCCGTCAGTTCTGCGCCAGCGGTAGGAGGAGGTGTTGCCACCTCTTCGGAAAGGACTTCACCCAGTGCTCAGCAACAACAAAATGAATTAGCTCACCATATGCTAAGGAATATTTTACAAGGTAAAAAAGAGCTAATGCAACTCGACCAAGAGTTGCGATCCGTAATGAGTCAGCAGCAACAGCAACTCGCAGATAATCAAAACACGCTCAAGCACAATAACAATAACTTATCCTCGGCCACTAACAATAACGTGGCAGAAAAGGATTCGAACAATGTAATAAATCTATTAGAAGACACCATGTCTGACATTAAGATTAAATGTGAACCCAATCAGATGCAAAATAATGCTGATTCCGCGATAGATGAGCGTAGGAAATCCACAGATTCTGAAATTGGTGATTCACAGCAGGAAGAAGACCAACAGTCTGAAGCTGATAATATGGAACACCAGCACATGGACGATGATCAACATCAATCAGATTTGCCAGTTGGTGTAACTAAAAAGGAGGCAGATGATATCCTCGAAGATGTGGAATTAATGGGTTTGAATTCACGCTCCGACTTGGAGTCCTTGGCGTCGCCGAGTCAATCAGAAATGATGCTTTTAGAGAATAGCAAGGATGAATTGGAGGAAGAACTTGAAAAGGATGTCACTGCCACAATGTCTAAGAAGCCCGGTTTGGATATGAAAAGAGCTCGTGTCGAGAATATTGTCACCACAATGCGTTCCAGTCCATCGTCTCATCAAGCTCATCTACAAGTGAATGGCTGTAAGAAGAGAAAATTGTATCAACCTCAACAGCATGCAATGGAACGTTACGTAGCAGCTGCTGCGGGTCTGAATTTCGGTTTGAACTTGCAAAGTATGATGTTGGATGAAGAAGCATCCAATGAGATGGAATCTCCACAAATTCAGCAGAAGCGCGTTGAAAAGAACGCGCTTAAGTCTCAGTTGCGCTCAATGCAGGAGCAACTAGCTGAAATGCAACAAAAATATGTGCAATTATGCTCAAGAATGGAGCAAGAATCCGAGTGTCAGGACATCGACGATACTGCCAGTGATAGCATGGAACAAGATGACAATGCAGGCGACCTTTCTCCATCGCCATCTCTAACTGGAGAATCAAGTTTAAATGTAAAAATGCCACCAGATGCTGAACGACCCAGCTCTACTTCACCGACCCTTCCACTGAAAGGTCAAAAGCACCTAGCCTCGCAAAATTCCATGTCCCTAGATAATGCGCCGAATGTATTGTCACAAATGATGAGTAAAATGATGTCCTCACGATCACTTGTGGGACATCCACATATGCAACAATCGTTTAATGGCCCTCTGCCTCTACTTCAGCATATGCCTCAAATGCAAAGCGATGCCGGGGCCGCTCATTTGTCTCATCCCGCTATAAGCAATGCTGCTGCCATGTATCTGGGACAACAATTCTTCTTTGAACAAGAAGCCCGGATGGCAAAGGAAGCCGCTGAGCAGCAGCAGCAGCAACATCAAATACAGCAACAGCAGCAGCAACAACAGCAGCAACAGCAACAACAGCAGCAGCAGCAACAACAAGAGCAGGAGCAGCAGCGTCGTTTTGAACAGGAGCAACAACAGCGGCGTAAGGAGGAGAAGCAGCAACAACAGCAGCAGCAGCAGGCACAGCAGCAAGCTGCACAACAACTCCAACGGCAACAACAATTGCAACAAATGCAACAACATCATTTGGAGCAATCTACACCAGTCTCGGTAAATCAGCCCACACGATCGCAACTACACCACAATCGTCTGCATCAGCGCCACGGTAATCACTCCTCCCTCAAGTCAGAATTATCCGAGAAATTCAACATGCTGAGATCCAGCTCAAACTCGATTATGCGAATGTCCGGTTCGGACTTAGAAGGGCTTGCCGATGTACTGAAATCCGAAATTACTACTTCACTGTCAGCGTTGGTGGACACGATCGTCACACGATTCGTTCACCAACGCCGTCTTTTTAGCAAACAATCGGATTCAGTAGCGGCAGCTGCCGAGCAACTCAACAAGGATTTGCTTATGGCATCCCAGATTCTTGACCGCAAATCGCCCCGCACGAAAGTTGCAGATCGGTCGCAATCCAACGCTATCATCAGCAGCAATACAAATAATTCCAATGCAGGATCAGTTCAATCCGTAATTAACGGAAACTCTGTAGTCAACTCTGCAGCGGCTCAATCAGGTAATAATGGTTCTCTTCTTCTAGTTAATAATACCTCCTCAACTAACCAATTAAATAACAATGTGCCCAATAATCACCTGGGGCACTTACAATCTACTGTAAGTAACGGCCCCCAAATGCATGTCGGTCCGGGTCCCGCTATAACTTCCGGCGGTGTAGCAGTACCTCAACATCCGCTAGCTAATAGCCAAGCGAACGTCATAGCGTCTTCAAATGGCCAAACGAATGCACAACATGCGCAGCAAATGGCTCAAATGTCAGCGTTAAATGCGCAAAATTGTCAAAGCCTCATCGCCGCCCCGCGTCTCAATGGCAATCAGTTGTCGTTTCCGTCTCCGGCTGCGGCTGCAGCTGCAGCAATGGGTCTGCAAATGCATCATGCAGCAGCTGCAGCTGCAATGTCCGCAGCCGCCGCTAATCAGCAAAACCATAATCAACAGATCGCGAACGATAGTTCTAATCAGAATCCATTAAATCCGAGTCTCAACATGAACTCGAATCCTAGCACAAACAATACTAACAATAGCTTAAGTACAATTAATATACCACCTCCTCATATACGTCCTTCGCCCACAGCGGCAGCAATATTTCAGGCACCTAAGACACCGCAAGGAATGAATCCGGTCGCTGCAGCAGCGCTCTACAACTCCATGACCGCTGGAGGATCTAATCAAATGAGTCCCTTCTGTATGCCCGAAACGCGTGAAGCTCAACAGCAGCAACATCAACAACAACAACAGCAACAACAGCAGCAGCAGCAACAACAACAACAGCAACAGCAGCAGCAACAACAACAGCAGCTACTAGAGCAGAATGAAGCTCTCAGTTTGGTTGTAACACCGAAGAAGAAGCGCCATAAGGTCACTGACACCCGCATAACTCCGCGTACTGTCAGCCGCTTACTTGCACAGGATGGAGTCGCACCGCCGAATTCCGTTACCGCAAGTGGCATACTTGACGGTAGTGGCAAGTTCGCTCCTATGGGAGCCCAGTCCAGCCAACAGCAACAGTTGCAGCCCAACACAAGCCAATCAAATTGCAATCCACAAAATACATCCAATAATAGCACAAATGCCACGCCAGTCAATGTGAATACCACCGGCAATATTGGCAATATCAACACGACGCCAGCACAAAGCCCATCGCCACGTGCTCAAGCGCCAACCTATCATCCGCCGCCACCACCACCACCCATGTTGCCCGTGTCACTGCCCACATCTGTGGCAATACCCAATCCATCGTTACACGAGTCGCAAGTCTTCTCGCCCTACAGTCCATTCTTCAATCCTCACCCGCCGCATGCGCCACCGCCACCACCACCCCCGCATGGTCCCCACGGCGGTGCTCATAACACGCCCACAGCTGCCCAAATGCATCACATGAAGATGTCCTCAAGCCCTCCTGGCCTTGGCGGCCTAATGGACTCGCGCGAATCACCGCCGCTGCCTCATCCACCAACAATGCTGCACCCTGCCCTGCTGGCTGCCGCCCACCATGGCGGATCGCCCGACTATAGTGCGCATCTGCGTGCGGCCATGGATGCACAAGACCGCAACTCGGATTGCAATTCTGCTGATATGCAATTCGATGGAATGCAGCCGACAATATCATTCCTAAAGCAGCAAATGATGTAAGTACTTAACAAATCTATACATAATATACAATACATATATCTTTTTTTCAATGCATCGATAGAAAAGAAAATCTAGAAAGAATGTTAGTATGTCTAGAAATAGCTCAAGCAAAATATAAGCTTTTGAAGGAAAACTTAAAAATATTCAAAAGATTTCAAAAAAAAATTGTGTTTGAAAACATGTCACCGTCTGCATTGGATTTTGACCCATGTTCGATGTGTGTGGATCGTGTATATTTGGGTTTTAACTTTTCAACAATGTTGTATAAAATAATTTCCCCCTCCCACCTAAAAATCGTTACAGGATCCGACGCTTACAACATATGAATGTTACGTTTCCTTTGGCCATTCCACTTGGCAGTGTTCACTTATTTTTTCTTAAGCTTCGTCACTAATTACCTCTTAATACCAAAGAAACATTAAATCAAGTCAACAAAACGAAACCAATCAAGTGACTCTACCCGCGTGCAACAATGCAACAATGCAACATTTCAATACTATTAATTGAATCCATTTACAATCTACAGTGAAATCAAAACCAAAGTCTGAAGCAACCCTAATTACATATTCTTGAATCTTTTCGAGTCTTAATTTACGCCTTATCGTCTTACTGACCAATCTACCCAAGCTTAGCACTCACACCGCTTTATTTCAATTTCCCGTCATTAAAAAGACAGTACAACAGAATGCTAAAAGTAAAAGAAATGCAGAAAATCAATGCATAATAAAAGTTAAATAAAAAATGCTATCCGAGTGTTTGCTTGTTCTTGATTTTATTGACGCTATTTACTAAGTCATACACATTTAGTGACATATTAAATGTAATATTCTTCTTCTTGTTTCCCTTTCATTCCACAAACAATTAATTGTGAATGTTTTCGCATACAAATTTAGCAAAAATAGCGACTCGTTGAGTCCACTACACTCTTCGACATTAACGCCAATGCATCTGCGCAAGGCAAAATTGATGTTCTTCTGGGTGCGCTATCCGAGCTCAGCGGTACTGAAGATGTACTTCCCAGATATTAAATTTAACAAGAACAATACAGCACAATTGGTGAAATGGTTCTCGAATTTTCGGTAAGTGAAATATGTTTTTAATTTTCAAGTAGAGAAAGGAATGCATTTGTTTATTTATTATTATTATTATTTTTTTTTTTCGCACTGTACATACTATATACATACCTACGTAGACTGATGGTGGGAAGAGGTCCCATTACTTGAGCATATTGTTTAGTAACTTTTTTGGAAGTTCAATACGGAAAATAGTACACTTATTCTTCAAAGAGAGAGAGAGTTATCTTTCGGAGTACACAAAAAAGCTTTAAATTTTATAACATATAAAGTGCAGAGCATTAACTCATTCTGGAAACAATTTTTTTAAAATGACAACAAAATTAAAACAATAAATCAAACGATTACTCATATTAACTGTAATTTCTCATATATGTGCCTATATATAATAATATATATGTATGCCGGAGTAGCCGAGTGGTTAGCGCTGCGGAGCACCACTTGGAAAACCAGGGTCCGAGTGCTGGTTGCGCTGAAAGCCATATATTTGTAGAGTGTGTGCTTAGAGGGATTTTACTATACGATGCATATTTTTCAAATAGCTACTTCTCAAATACACCTGTCTCATGCAAGCAACGAACTTTCAAAATACTTTGAACGCGTTTTTCTCGAAACTATGTTATCCGGTCTAACTTCATGCACCGGGCTTGATCTATCCGTCCGATTTCTTTTACCTAAAAACTGGTTAAAAAGTACAGTGGCTCACAGCCAAAGTGATGTAGCTACGTATGTGAGAAATAGTATAAAAAGTTTTATTGAAAAATTAAATTTGCCAAAAAATGAAGGCCAATTAATAGCGGCAAATATACACATTTCATTTATGCTATAAAATATATTTTTTTATTTATATTTTATGTAATTAAAAACAAAAACAAACTTCACTATTAAATTGTGCCTCACAGTGAAAACGATGCAATAACAAAAAAAATTATAAATTTCATTTTTTTTAAGAACAAAACTAAATTGTAAATATGTTAATTAATATTTAGTAGGATACCCCTTGCTGTCTATGACTGCTTTCATAAGTTTGGGCATGGATTCCACTAACTTATTCACTAACTTATTCGTGCAGTCATGAGCAATATTGTTCCATTCTCTTTGTAGGGTTTTTTAAGTCGACTTAATTTCGGATCTCTTGTTCCAAAACTGACCACAGATTCTCAATCACATTCAAATTTGTATACTGCGCTGGGGTTTTTGCTATGTGCGGACAGTTCCAAATAAGCCGAATTTGCACAACGCCTGATTTATGTTTTGGATCATTATCTCTATAGTACCGTAACTTTTACCGAATATTTAATTTTGAGGCACTTTGCAACAAATTTCATTTTAAAATGTCCAAATACACAGTCTTATCCATAGTACTATTGATGAAATCCAAATTTCCCACTCCAAAAGACGACATACATCCCCATACCACTACATGCCCTCCACCATGTTTTACAGTGCAACGTAAATTTGCGGTTGAAACACAGTATTTGGTTTTCCCCATACATAACTCTTTCCAGCTGATCTAAACAAGTTGAATTTACTTTCGTCTTCACAAATTACGGTGTCCTATGAACTTTCATCTTGCACACTTTTCAGCCTTGCACTTTGATATGGTTTATTTTGAGCTGTGCGGCCATTGAAATCAGCTTTTCTGAGGACTCTTCATATGGTTTCTGAGTTACAGCTTTTTCCAAAATATTTTAGCGCCTCTTCATCTAAAGCTTGAGAGATTTGGTGGGGATTTTCGCGTATTTTCCGTACAATCCATCCGGAATCGCTTTCGTTAAATATTTTATTATGAACGACTTTCACGAATGCTATGCTGAACAGTTCCTTTTCCATTTTGATTTACACCCAACTAATGTCAACACTATAATTTCAAAATTTTCTCATATTACATTAAAATTGCTGCGATTATAGCAATATTCATTTTGCATTCAAAAATCGTCGACAAAACGCCGCTACTAACTGAAGTTAGTTTTCGTTGTAAATTACATAAAATAAACATAAAATATAAAACTTTTAAAGCATCAATGAAATGTGCATAGCTGCCGCTATTAACTGGCATTCATGTTTTTGGGAAATTTATTTAATTTTTAAATAAATCTTTTTTAACTATTTCTTACACAGCTGCATCCCTTGGACTCTGAGCCACTGTATATAGTTTTTTGTGCGTCTTGAACCTAAGATTATATACATATATATATAATTGGTGCGATTTTCGGCCGAGCTCCTCCTCCAATTTTTGGTTTTGCGTCTTGATATTTTCCAACAAATGAAGGGACCTACAGTTTATAGTAACCCACCTCCGAACAGCTGATGCTTTTTATTGGGAGCCTCTATTTCATGTCCGAAATACACTCGGAGTGATGCGCATTCCCAGCCGAGGGGCGACCGCAATTAGAAAATTTAACTTTATTCTTTATATAAATGAATTTTTTATAACTTTTTGCAAGTGAACCCGAACCTTCCGAATGACAGTACGCAATGCTTACTACTCGTCTACCGTGACCGCTAACCTAAAATCAAAATTGATAATTATTTATTTATATTTTTTTAACGTTTTTGATGTGAAAAAAGTAGCAAAAATTTTAACTTTATAATCGCAATGACCACTGGGCATTAAATTTATAGTTAAATTTTTTTCAATTCAAGTTCGGGACGTAGAAAATTTCATGATCTTCGAGTAATGACAACGGTTTTTTGATTTCAGTCAACTAAAAGGGGCTGTAGATTTGAAGTTGTTGGGCCAAGCTTAAATTAAATTAATTAAAGATAATTTATTTTCTAATTGTGATCGGCAAGGAAACAAATAAAATGTCCTCATATAAATCCATTGATCATTCGAATGCCATTCAGAATAAACTATAGCTCCCTCCAGCTGTTGTTATATTATTTGAAATAGCAACAAATCAAAGCTGCATTGTAACAATAAATTTCACGTAAATCAAAAAATGTAAATCATTTCGGTTAAACCGTTTTCGTAAATCTTTTTTCGTTTTTACCCGAAACGAAAATCTGTCGTATGTTACTGTTAACAGGTAATGTTAAGTGTTAAGTGTTGTTAAAGCAAAGCAGACAACCATATCAAAATTAACGCTAACGAGGTTTCAAAATTAACATTATCTTTTCATTTCGATAACATGACGAGGAAACGAAATAAAATCATTTGGTTAAGTTTACTTTTCATATCAACAAAACGAAACGACACCGTTTCGTTAGTTGAGCATATCTATAACAAAGACATTTATTTACAAAAATGAGAATAGAAAATATTCAATTAGAAAATATCAAATCCTCAGGTAATAGTGATGATTATTATCATATACAATTTTATACATTCAAATAGTATATGGATATCATTATTATTATTGTTTTTTCAATTTTATTTGGAGAAGTATATGTAAAAGGAAAAGAACGTTAGTAAACTTAAATTTTATTTCATTGAAAAATCAGCTTCAAATACATACACATAAAATATATTCAATATAATTTACAGAAGTACAAACATATTTTACAAGTAGAATTAGATGAAATCAATTTAATAGATCTAAACATTTCTATGAAAAGGCAGAAAAATATTATATCAATATATAAGTACATATGCTTGTAGGTGAACTGCCTTTTGACAGTTATAATATTGCACAATTCATCGCTCCATATATGTACATACATATATACATACATACATCAATTGTCTGTAAGTAACATATTTAGACGTATTTAAAGAAACTATCAAAATTGCTAAGCTGTCAAAAAGTACAATGCCACGTCGATACGAAGGATATTAATAGAATTGAAATTTTGAGTGTCTGCAGACATACATACATACATACACACATATATATGTACAAAGCTAAAGAATTTACATAATTTACTACTTTTACTGGTGCATCATGGCCTTCTTACCGTAAATTTTCTGACGCACAACACTTTCCATTCATTGAACGGGCATAAGTTGGAAAAAAAATTCAGATAAGTACTAAACTGATGGCATAAGCATTTTATTGTGGGTTCATTATACAGTTCTACTTACTAACTATTTGCCCATTTACATACACTCATATATTTTCATATGCTGACTGAGGCAGGCCCGCATACTTTCGGGAAAGTCCAACTGACACCAATTCGGCAAAGAAGGTCTATTGCACGTTGCATGCTACCATTGTAGAAAACAAAAACAAAGGCAGCAGAAGAAAAGGTATAAGATTAGCCATTCACATTATGTACTCGTGTATATAGTATGTATGTATTATAGGCATTCATATATACCTTTATACGTTGATCGTATAACCGAAACAACTATAACAACGCGGAAAACGTAAACAAACTCCCAGTTGTTGTCAGCTAACTGACTGATAAAACATAAAACATATATAAGTGCATACTCGTATGTGCACATGTACATATGTGCATATGTACATTGTACATGTTAACATACAAATAAGAGAAAATTTTAAGCAGCAATGCGCGCCAAAAATTAGCTCGTGCTTTTTTCCGGCTGTTGGAATATGCCAAGAAAAACGAACATCTGTTCGACGTGGCAGTCGATTATGAACAATAGTTCACCTGGCCTGTTGTCGATGAAGAACAACAACCCTGAGCTGAATGCAATACGCGGCAGTTTATGCACACATACATATATATGTACAGGACGAGGCAGCTGAAACTGACGAGAATATAAGCATGTATTGTAGATAGGTATGTACATACAACATGCAACGTCTTAAGGAATGCAAACAAAGAGTCTAAGAAGACTTCTTTTGCCTTTAAGAAAAATCAAATCGACTTTGCGCGCGCACGAGCTCAGCTGAAAATTCCTTTACGCCTTATTGTGTGTGTCCCTTGACTTGCTCTTATATACATACACATATATGTATGTATGTAAATGTGTATATGAGCATACACATTTTAGTGTTTGCCAAATTGAGGACAACTTGGAACGTCCTTAGAGGAGTTTCCTTGCCTTCTTGTGTTATTTAACTTTCCTAACTGCATTTGTCGACGCGTACTTA